TGAGTCTATTGCTGGTTGGCATCTCCTGGGGTCACAGCAATCTCCTATAAAAGTTGGCTGAATGGTTGCACTTTTTAATTAAAAGCCATCTTTCCTGATTAGGCTCAGTGGGGTTTTAATAAGGATTTTTACAATCTGGATCTGTTGGCCAGCATGGATCATCTTTCTCTTACACCTCAAGTGCTAGATCTGCATTAAACACCCTGCTCTTCTGCCTGGGAAGGGATCTGATCCTCATTAGGAGCTATTCCTGCATTTTCCTCCAGAAACAGGCATTTTGAAAGTGTGGTTTTTCAAACCACGCCTTGGCACCGTGGCTGGAGGGATTCAGGAGCTCTGTGGATGTGGCAGCTGGGGACATGGGCCAGTGGTGGCCCTGGACTCAAGGATCTGAGAGGATTTTTCCCACCTCAATGATTCCATGGTTCTGTGATGTCTGCTCCTAATTCCAGCGCAGAATTTGGTCTCTGTTGAGTTTTCCATAATGCCACCGTCTGCCACCTGAGGTATCACTTCGGCCTGTTGAGGTCCTGTTCTTGACCCCACACAAGTTTAGTTCAGTGGGGGAGGAATGCTCTTCCACATGCCATGGGTATGTCTCAGGAGCGAGCCAGACTTTAATTGAGTTAAAAAGCTCCTGGGCCTGGATTTTCCATTCCATTCCTGCACTCCATCAGCCGACTCCAGCCATCCCTGGTCCCAGTGCACGGACTTCTGGCAGGTAGCGCCACTTTCCCATTTCCTGACAGAACCAATTTTCATCAGAAAATGCCAGTTCTGATGAGATTAAAGCATTTAATCCCCCAACATCTTAATTTTGATGGATGGCTCCTCCCCGGGGTTCCCACAGAAGGCTGTGGGTCATGTGGGATGTGATGTGCTGGAGCCACAGCCCCAGGACAGCCGGGATGATCCTGGCAGAGCAGCTGCCAGGGGCTGGGATGGCTCCTGGAGTCAGAACTTGGGGCTGAAAATTCCAAGTGCACCAGAAATTCACTGGTTTTGGCTACTTCCACCTGCTCAGACCCTGGGCAGAAGCACAAGGAAAAGGGAGGGCAGGGAAGGACCAAGAGTGGGGCAAGGCCATCCATGCCCTGATGTCCCGATATCTGCATCACCCCACATAAGGTTTTCCAGGAGCAGCCCTGACAGCCAGGGCAGGTGGGGAGTTGTCCTTAACATCTCTACCCCCATTTTGGGCTGACACCTCCCCTGGCCACCCACCAGAATTGTCCCCCACTGCTGGAAAATGTGTCTGTGCCAGGCTGGGACGGCTGAGCCGAACCTCCCCTGACGAGAAGAAAGTGGCAGCGGTCACCTGGGGACAGAGCCATTTCCAGCCAGCCCAGCTGTCTGCTTGGGATGCACCAAGTCTGTCCCTCTTGCAGGATCCTCTCCTGGAGCCTTGGAAAGCCACGTCCCCCCTGCTCCGCCCTGGAGCCGCTGGAAGCTGTTAATCGCTGCCCGTGGGTTTAATTGGGAGCGAGAACGCACAGACCCCATTAAAGCCCACGAGGGTGCCAAGGGCTCCCGTTCAGGCACAAATGAAGGAGCAATCAAACCCACTTAGGTAATAAAAACAGCTGGAGTCTGCAGGCAAGTGCCTGAGGCAGCGAGGCACATGGCAGGCAGGCTGGGCCTCTGTGAGCGTGCAGCCAGCCCTCCCGATGGAAAACGCCGGGATCCGGCCGGCGTGCGGGGTTCTGTGCTTGTGGGCAGGCAGCCAGACTGGGAGATTATGGGTCATCCTCAAAAGGCAACAGAGAGCTGGAGCTTCTCGAGCTCAGAGCTTGCTGGAGAGTGTGTCCAGGATTGTTTTTCCAGTGGGAATGAGAAGCCAGAGCCCTGGGCACTGGCTCTAGGGGTCGTGATTCCCATGATATTCTTGCCCTGTTGGATCATTTGCCAACCCCCGGCACAGAACCACAGCACACAATGTGAGGGGGCTTCTGGCTCTTCATTTCTACACAGGGATTTATTTCAGAAAGGGTCCCCAAAGCCACTGACCAGGCTGGGGTCCCAGCTCTTAGCCTGGGAAGCTGGAATCACCCCAGAAGGAATTAGTTTTCCAAAGACTCCGATCAGGAGGGTCTTTGTTCAGCGCTTTTATTTGGTTTTGTTTTAATAGGAAGGATCCCAATTTTCCTCTTTTTAATTCTGATTCCAGTGAAACATTTCCTGCTTCATGGAGGTTGCTGATATGGATGGGTGGGAGAGGTGGGTCTGGGCTATTCCAGTTTTTGGGTCAGTTAGGGAGGAAAGCTGGAGCAGATGTGAAAGGGCCACAAGGAACCTCACAGAGCTGTTCCATCCTACTCCAGAAAGCCAGAGCACAGAGCCCTGGAAGTTCATCCTGCTCCTTGAAAGTGCCAACACTCAGCTGTCCAGGGCTAAAGCATCAACTGTGGAGGTGTTTGAGATGTTTGTGATTATCATGCTGCAGAAACCCCTCCTTGTTTGGTGTTTCCACATCTTTGCACAAAGGCAGAAGGGTTTTCCTTGTTTTTCCCTGTCCAGGAGGAGCCTGGTAACTCCCGACTTAGTCCAGAGATTTGATATGGAGGGCACTGCTCTCTTCCCCTCTGGGACCAGCCCACAGATCCACAGTGCAGGAGGTGGAGGGAGGATGAGCTCATCCATGGAATGGGGCTGGGAGGGGGTTCTTGATGTCCCTGTGGTGTCCCTGTGTTTTGGTGCCAGTGCCAGGGTGCCCAGAGGTGCGTTCAGGGATCCTCCCTGAGTGTCCCTTGCTCCAAACGTTCATTGTCAGGACAAAGTTCAGGGAAGGATGCTCAGGGCTGTGACAGGAAGAGAGCAAAGGCTCGGTGCTTTGGAAAAGTCTGCTGGCACACAGAGGAATGGGAAGGAAGCTGTTTACTTCATCTGATCCAATTTTCCTACATGAGCAGCAGCAAAATGCAGCTTGGCACAGGTTTGCTTCCTTAGGGAGAGTGAAATCCAGGGCCAGGAGCTGAACTGCTCTGTCCAACCTTCCCTGAGCTGCTGAAATGCAGAAAATGAGGAAAAGTAGGGTAGAGGGGCCACCAAGAACAGCCCAGCAAAAGGAATTGTGGAACATCCTGAGACAAAAGCTCCCAGAGTTGTGAGAGAATGAACAAACACAGCTGGAGGGGAAAGATCCCACTGCAGAGCACCTGAAAGGGACAATTCCTCTTCTCAGGAATTCTGCTGGAGTCTCAGTGGAGCTTTCCAGCCTCCAGTCTGCTCTGGCCATCAGCTGATCCTGCAGCTCTCCAGGAGCAGAGTGGAGGCCGTGACTCAGAGCTCAGCTGGCAGCAGGGAGAAGGGAAGAGGCTCCTGAGCTCCTCCTGCACTCGCCTCCGGAGAGCCGGAGCAGCCTGGCAGGGCCTGGTGCTCCCTGGCACACAGGGGATGCTCCAGGGCTCAGGAAGGGCTGGCAGTGTCTCAGGCCATCAGGGACAAGTGACAGGGTCTTCCCGGCAGCACCTTGATGCAGCTGCAGTTTTTCCCCAGGAGGATTTCTCTGGAGTCAGGATTCAGCCCTGAGGACTCTCCCCCGCCTCTCTGCATGAGCCAAGGGCTGCAGGGGGCTGGTTCTGGGGACTTCTGTGGTAGATTTGATAGCTGTGCCCGAGTCTGGGCATCACCAGACTCTGTGATTGTGCCTTTCAGTCTCCTGTCACTGGATCTGACCTTTCCCTGGGCAGGTCCAGCACCAAGGAAATGTCTCTGGTGGTTCCCTCATGTCCCTGCCCTTGGCAGGGGGCTAGAACTGGATGATCTTCCAGGTGCCTCCCAGCCCAACCTGCCCTGTGATCTTTTGGGGAACAGTTCAACCTCTCTGGTAAGGTGGGGATCAGGTTATGGGTTCAGGTCAGGATTTTCCTTTCCCTGTGACACTCGCTGACCATGTCTGTCTCAAGACACCCGGCAAATCCCCAGGAGAAGAGACTCAGAGGATGCTGTGCTCAAGCTCTGTAGAGAAGAGTGGGAAAGGGAGCAGGAAACGGATCCTACCCCTGACACTGGAACAACTGCCCCGTGCACCAAAGCCATCGAGGCTGGATTTTGGGGCTGGAGAAGCACACCTTGTTCCCTAGAGAAGTTTGCTCTGAGCATAGGAGCCTCCTGTCCTCCTGGAAGAATTGGGGTTCCTCCTTGGCAGTCCCCCTGCTCTGGGCTGCTGGGGCTGTCACGCTCCTCATGCACCTTTTGAGAGCACCTGGGGGGCTGCAACCCCCCCACCCCCTGATCCAGCAGTGGAACCAAACTCCACTGCAGTGGCAGCAGGAGCTGGCCTCGGTGGCAGGGAGGGAAAGCGGGAAGGGAACGCCACGGGCTGTGGGGAAATTCGCATGGATGGGTGAGTGCAGAGGCAGCGATGAGCTGGAGACGGGAGGATGGAGAGGCTGCACAGACAGACGCGCAGCCCCTGGGACTCTGCACGGGAGGATTTGGGGAACGAGCCTGGGAGATTCATCGAAGCACAGAAAAAGAAAGTTGGTGAAACTTTTCTTGATTTCTTTCTTTTTATTATTTTTGACCCAAGGTTCTTCCCTTCAAAGGGAGAGGGGAACGGCTTCTCTTCAGCCCCGGGTTCCGGGCTGTTCTGCTCCCCAAATGCCCCCGGGGGAAGCAGCCCGGAGCCGCGGGCAGGGGCTGGACGGAGGCGATGCCGCCCCGAGCAGACGCGACGAGGGGTGACAGGGAGAGGGGCGCACCTGCGGAATGAGCAGAGCCGGGGAGGGGCGGAGATGAGGGGTTTAGCCCCAATTTGGGGGGGCTCGCCGACAGGTGGGGAGCTCTGGTTTTGGGGGGGTTACAGCCGGAGGAGGGGGAGGCCCGATTTGGGAAGGGAGTACCACGGGCAGAGAGGGGCTGAGCCCCGGTTTGAGGGGGGGGTGAGCCCAGTGCCCGGGGGCGGGCGGTGGGAGGGACCTCCCCGGCCCCTCCCGGTGGGCGGGGGGCGGGGGGGCCGGGCTATAATGCCATTGATGCCGGGCGGCGGAGCCAGACAATACCGCGCCCCCGAGCCGGGTGCCCGGAGCGCCCTGCCCTGCCGTGCCCCGGCCGGCCCCGCTCCGCTCCCACCATGATGTCCATGAACAGCAAGCAGGCGTTCAGCATGCACCCCATCCTGCACGAGCCCAAGTACCCGCACCTGCACACCAGCTCCGAAGCCATCCGCAGAGCCTGCCTGCCCGCCCCCCAGGTAAGCCCCAGCACGGCTTTCGGGAGGTTCCGTGCCCGCCGACCGTCTCCAACTTTGGTTTCCCTTCGAATTTGGGTTTCGCTTGGGTTTGGGGGGGGGTCCGTCCTTTCCCTCCTGCCTCCGCCGGCGGGCGGGGGCTGTTCCCGGGGGAGGGGGCTCTGGGGCGGCCGGGGGGTCGGTCCCGCTCGGGAGCTTTGCCCCGCTCCGTGCGAGCGCTGGAGCAGCGCGGGGCTGCGGGACCCCCGACGGCTCCGGCCTCTGCCGCTGCCTCCCTTTTGGGGAGGTCGCCCCGGAGAGCAGAGCGGGTGCCCGATCTGGGGGGAGAGCGCTCGGTTCTGGCACCCCGCTGCTTTTATCTGGGGCGCTCGGTTCGCGTTACCTGTCCCCGGCGGCGCCGGTGGGGCAGAGCGGGATCTCCGTCACGCCGCTCCCCTTCAATCGTCTCCCGCTCTCACGGTTTGTTTTCTCTCCCGCTTTTCTCCCCCCCCCCCGCCCCTCCGTGCAGATCCAGGGGAACATCTTTGCGGGCTTTGACGAGACGCTGCTGCGAGGGGCCGAGGCTCTGGCCGCCGTGGATATCGTGTCGCAGAAAACCCATCCCTTCAAGCCAGACGCCACCTACCACACCATGAGCAGCGTGTCCTGCACTCCTACCTCGTCCTCCGTCCACCTGCACCACCCGTCCGTGCTGACCACGCACCACCCCCACCACCACCACCACCAGCCCTCGCAGGGCCTGGACGGGGAGCTGCTGGACCACCTCAACTCCGCCCTCCCGCTCGGAGGGGTGCCGGGCCCCGACGTGGGCTCCACGCCTTCGCACCCGCACTCCCACATGTCGGCCATCAACCACATGGCCCACCACTCGCAGCCCATGAACATGTCCCACCCCCACGGCCTCGCGTCCCACGCCGTCATCTCCGGCCCCGAGACGGAGACGGACCCGCGGGAGCTCGAGTCCTTCGCCGAGCGCTTCAAGCAGCGGAGGATCAAGCTGGGGGTCACCCAGGCGGACGTGGGCTCCGCGCTGGCCAACCTGAAGATCCCGGGGGTGGGCTGCCTTAGCCAAAGCACCATCTGCAGGTTCGAGTCGCTCACCTTGTCCCACAACAACATGGTGGCCCTCAAACCCATCCTGGAAGCGTGGCTGGAGGAGGCGGAGAGGGCGCAGAGGGAGAAAATGACCAAACCCGAGATCTACACGGGGGGGGACAAGAAGCGCAAGCGCACGTCCATCGCCGCCCCCGAGAAGCGCTCGCTCGAGGCCTATTTCGCCGTCCAGCCCCGGCCCTCCTCCGAGAAAATCGCCGCCATCGCCGAGAAGTTAGACTTGAAGAAGAACGTGGTGCGGGTCTGGTTTTGCAATCAGAGACAGAAGCAGAAAAGGATGAAATTTTCTGCCACCTACTGAGGAAGGGGCTGGGGAGGCAGCGGTGCGGGGGGGGAGGGGGATGCTGCCCTCCCTACCGCCTCCCCCGGTCCTTCCCA